TAGAGGTCTGTAGACAATATGTCTAGTTGGGTTGTATGTGGCCTTGTCGGCTTTCAGTTTTGGATGTATAATTGTCTATAGCAGCCTTGCCGGCTCGCCCACTATATTCTGCCTATATACGTACATATGCCTTGATGGCAGGTTTCTTTTACGTATGTTATTTTCGTAATGCAGCAGATGTTATACAGGTTCATATCTTAGACGCATGCTTAGGGGTGTTTGACACATAGGACTCAGGCACCAGTCGGTTTGGGTCGTGACAACCAGGCGTTTGTCTGTATATTTGGTATTCCATAGTTATTCTAGATGTTTACATTTTCTTCTTTGTTGCTGTCTTTGATGAACCATAGGTAAAATTTATGTATGACGAAAGTCTAAAATGAAGCAGAATATGCAGTTCTTGCAAATTGTTGATTACTGTCAACTATTCTAAATTAAAAAAAAAAATCTGAAACGTTTTGTAAATTATTTGTGAAGTGTTTTAAGACAGCTTCAGAGGCCTGTATGTGGGAAGAACCTAATTTTACTTCGATGAAACTTAAACCGGTGAAAGTCTACAGTAACGAAACAGCCCTTCAGTATAACATCATGATCGACTTGATTGCTAAACGTATAGATACCTTATCCTGTCCGCACTCAAGTGTTCAATATATTTAATTTAACATTAATAGGCATTAGATTATTCACTTGAATATTACACCAATTTTTTTGAAATTAACTAAATAACACAATAAAATTATACTGTCCAATTTGGAAGTCATAATTAAAGAGTAATAGCTATGACTTCGGATATAAACACCTATATTGACTAGGAGTACTCTCACTTCGTTACCCTAATAGATTATATTCGAACATACACCAATCCAACAATTAAATACATGATGCATGTCTACACAAACATGACTATTACTAAATCTTAGTTAATAAGTACACATTTTCATCATAATTGTCACTTAACAATAATAAATTAGTATAATTTGTTATAAACATTTGATACGGATAAGTTTTTACCCTTGTATTTGAATGATATCTACATTTTCCTTCCTCTACCGTCTTGATGAGACAGCCTACTGTTCCTGGAAGGAAACTAAAGAAAAGATGTAGTGCATTATTATTTCCCACTTCTAATGGTTGTCGAAGACTTGATTCCCTCTTCTCATTAGAAGTGATTTGTTGTAACTTCTATTATACGGAGTTAGGTAAAAAAAAAGAGTTATTAATTTTAAAGGTGATAATAAGTTGAATGCAGAAAACTAAAGTAGGTAAGTAAAATGATATCAAGGGGTCGTTTGGTAGGATGTATTAGGAAAAATAATACATATATTAGTTTTGGTATTATTAATCCCTTGTTAGATAGTACTTTTTAATTTATGTATCACTAATATTTGTATTAATTGTACACCCTATTCAGAGTCATTGTAACTCTCTCTTCACTAGTGAGGGTTAGCCCCCAACGGCTATTTAGTATTGTCGTTAATATTATTTTTAAATGTCACTCACTTCTGCACTTAAATCCCCCATGCTTGCTTTGTATATAGTGATAGATTTATGCCTTTGAGGGCTACTTACAACAGGTCCACCATCCTCTTTCGTAGAATAAAATTAAATGTGTGAGGCTGTGAGCAATCTGTATCTATATGTATATTTTGGGTTCTCTGCCTATTCACCTAAAACTACAGAGAGAAAATATAGAGTCACAACATAAACACACACGCTTCCGCATGAGGAACTCCATTGAATTTATCACATTAATACTCCATTGAATTTATCACATTAATAAAATTGGAGCGGTTAAGCTAGTAAATAAAGAAAGAATTGACAAAATTACAAAATAACCTGTGATTTTATCTTAGAAGCAATATTAATTTTTTCGCCAGATTTAGAGGAACAGTAAAAGGTAATTATGCAACATGGAAATACTTAATAAATGAACTAACATACAAACTCCTCTCCAAATACCTACTGGACCAAAGAGGTAATGCTAAATTCAAAACTTCTGTAATATGACAATGAAGCCCGAGTACATGATTTTTAAGTCTTTAAACACAATCAAGCAGTAAAATAAATGTCCTCCATGGTCTAAAAAGTCGGTGCATGAGCTATAAATGAAGAAGAAGAAGAAGAGTAACAAAATTGTCATCGTTTAGAAAATTCACATCCCATCCTCCGTAAGAAAGACATTGCTATCAAATTATTGGCAATAATGAACAAGCGTCTTAGATGAAACATCAACCATGACAGCTCCAGCTCCTAGTAGTTTCGTCAGCAAAGAAGAGTATTAGCTCATGAATGAGCACCTAACAGCACTGTTAAAATGAGTGTAATACTTCCGCCAAGTACATGTTCCGACACAAGTAAGATCAGGAATAGGTTAGAAACCACTATTATTACTTGGGAAGTAGTTATTATCCCAAGAAAAGATGTCAGTCTAGAGTATCCATTTGATTGATCGCTTCACAAATGAGAACTATCCAGAACAAAAGAAACTCAAATATTGTTACTGTTTCTCACCTGAGCCATGGGAAATGCTGGTGAGGTATATGTCCATACAATTTTGTCTATTAAAGATCCTTGAGCAGCCGCAGATTCATGTCTGTCGTCAATTTCTACATCTATTTTAACGTTAGGATGTCCCACTCTGAATCTCACAACTTTTGTTGAATTAAGGGGAAAGCCAAACTGGAAATATGTTGTTACAAAATCATAATATTTCTGGTTAATGAGGAAAAAAAAAAACAAATAAGTCAAATGAAGAAATCCAACATCAGATAGAACTTGAGGTGTAACCTTGAAATGGTTGTACATGAATTTTTGAAATCAGGCACAACTTTGAGATTATTTTATATGTTAATGTCTCAGGAAATGTAGGATCACTTTCTCCTCTACTAGACCAGTATGAAACCTTGCAGCCAACCCGATCACTTGGTTCTAATGTATTCAGGATGCTTTCTTCAGGATAGTTGTCAGTGCTTGATGCAAGGATTGCATCTGTTAAGCAATCATACAATTGGAAAGGCACTTTCCCATAAACGTATAAACTCTGTGATCTCACTCTAAACATAACCACTCCGTATATTTTTCAGGCTGAGATACCATTGGTATAATTGTGCTTTTAACTTCAATCATATTTGCAACACCTGATATTTCAAGGGAAGTTATGATTTTGATGAGGAAAAGAAGGCTACAAACTTCTATAAGATTGTAAATGTAATACTAACATATTTGCAGTTTACAGAGTAGAATAGCAAAATACTGAACTGGTACACTAGGCTCCCATTATGTGTAGGATTGGGGGCAGATGTGAACCACAATTGGTCTATTGTGTAAAGTCTAATTACCTTGCATTTCTAAAAAAATTGTTTCCACACCTTAAATCGATAATATCTTAGTCGTATAGAGTCAACTCCTATTTGCGCCAAAGCTCCCTTTTAGAGTATTCCTAGTCAAGCTTAGCTTATCTCTATCAAAAAAATAAAATACTTGTGAGTGGAGAAGAATTACTTATTTTCTCACGCTGTACATGAAGAAGAACTATTTTACCTTTAGAGGAGTTGAGGCTAAAAGTAGGTTGATTAGATCCAAAGCAACTGATATTAAAAAACAAGCTGCTCTGGCAAATCTTCCTTCTATGATCATGCATTTTAGATCCATATTATCAGCAAAATGCTACAGAAAAATTATATGATTAGCAAGCTTACTAACATTATTGTTCCAACTATTAAGAATATTGATGCGACAAAGTTGAACAACAGATCATAATATCTATATTAATTCTATGTTCCGAGGCTTTAAAAACCTCCTTTTGTTTTATCTCGATTTGCGTGCACAGTCCGGACGTATATCCGGAAAGCTTTTATGTGAAAATTTAAGAAAAATGGTAATTTTTCCTTGAAAATTAAATTTAAGTTGACTTCGGTCGACATTTTGGGTAAATGGATCCGAACCCATGATTTGATGGTCCCGGAGGGTCCGTAAAAAAATATGGGACTTGGGCGTAAGCCCGAAATTGAATTCCGAGGTTCCTAGCCCGAGAAATGAATTTTTGAAGAAAAATATTTAACTGAAAATATAAGAGTTTTGGAAATTTAAAGATGTTCGAATTTGATGGTTTCGGGCCTGTATTTTGGTTCCGGAGCCCGGTACAGGTTTGATATGATATTTAAGTTGTGCCTGTAAAATTTGGTAAGAAACGGAATTCATGTGGCGTGAATCGGACCCTCGGTTGTGAAATTGGAAACTTAAGAGTTCTTGAGATTTTTCTTTGATTTTGATGCTAAACTCGTAGTTCTAGGTGTTATTTTGGCGATTTGATTGCACGAGTAAGTCCGTATGATATTTTTAGGTTAGTATGCATGTTTGGTTTGGAGCCCCGAGGGCTCAGGTGAGTTTCGGATGGGGTTCGGGATGTTTTGAGACTTAGAATTTCTACTGTCATAGCTGTTGCAGGTGCACAGGTATTTCTTTCTTCGCGTTTGCGAAAGAACTCTCGCGAATGCGAAGAGTAAAGTGTGTCTGAAGGAAATTCCTTCTACGCGAACGTGAGGCATAGGTCGCGAACGCAGAGCATTGGGGGAGTTTCCCTTCGCGAATGCGACCTGGCTATCGCGAACGCGAAGGCCATTATGGCAGGGACCTGGAGGAGGGGGAAAATACTCTACGCGAATGCGGCGATTGGCTCGCGAACGCGAAGGTTAGGGGGGTGAACCTTCGTGAACGCGTACAGTACCTCGCAAACGTGAAGGCTCTTCTAGCCAATGCTTCACGAACGCGAAGAAGGTCTGTCTAGCGATTTAAAACAGAGGCAAAACGAGATTTAACCCAAAATTTCATATCTCTTTCCCTAAAATCTGACCTTAGGCGATTTTTGAAGAGCAAATTCAACCCCAAATCATAGGTATGTGTTCTTGAACTCATTTCCTTCATTTTCCATCAACACCCATTAGATTTCTTGGCCTAAATCTTGTTCTTCAAGGGTAGAAATTAGGGATTTTACAAATTTGGGGATTTGGACCTCGATTTGGGATCGGATTCTGAAACTAATTACATATTTGGGCTCGTGGGAGAATGGGTGAACGGGTTTTGATTCGAACCTCGAGTTTTGACTAAGTAGACCCGGGGTCAGATTTTGACTTTTTGGAAGAATGTTGGGGTAATCTGTAGTTTTTCATTTGAATTGGTTTCTTGAGCTTCAATTAATGTTAATAAGTTAATATTGACTAGATACAATTAAATTGGAAGTGGAATCAAAAGGAAAAGCGGTGTTTGAGGCTCGAGTTTGGCCGTGAAAATTTGAGGTAAGTGCTTGGCCTAACCTTAGCTTGAGGGAATATGTGTTATGTCTTATTTGCTATGTGTTAGTGTCGAGTACGACGTATAGGTGAGGTGACGAGTATCTATACGTTGGTGTCAAGCATGCCCATGAGTCTTATATTAGGATTGTTGTGATTTTATTATGTATTGATCATGCTTAATTTGATAATTAGCAACTGCGGTACAAGACTTATGATGAATTCTTCGTAATTGGCAATTGTCAAGTATTGGTTCAAGTTGAGGTTCATTTTGTGAATTAACTATTGAAACTGGATTGGTTATAGCTGATTCCCTTGCCGGGATGATATTGTTTATATTGTTGACTCCCTTGCCGGGATGGTACTGTTTCTATTGTTGATTCCTTTCCAGAATGTTATTATTTCATTTGTTTGGGTGAGGAAGAGTGTAAAATACGAAGGGTGATGTCGTGCATGATATTGTGAGAGAGTGTTAGTGCACGAAGGGTGATGCCACGCCGTTATTGTGAGTGTTAATGCATGAAGGGTGATGTCGTGCCATATTATTGAGAGTAAAAGCACGAAGGATGATGTCGTGCCATGATTATGAGAGAGTAAACGCACGAAAGGTGATGTCGTGCCGTCTCTTTGATTTATATGGCGAGGATGAGAGTAAAAGTACGAAGGGTGATGTCGTGCACTTGTTTTTGTGTTATTATCTCCGTTGCTTCAAGTTTGGTATTTACTTTGTCGCTTTATTTCGTTGTTGTCATAACCTGATATCCCCCTCAGCATGTTCCCCCTTTTTCTGTCTTTTCCTGTTGAATTCTTATTATTATTGCTTCCTATTATTATTGCTTCTTGTTATTATTGCTTCTCATATAAGATAAAATTGCATAGGTTTATATAGTTGTCGCGTCCTAGCCTCGTCACTACTTCGCTGGGGTTAGGTTCGACAATTACTAGTACATAGGGTCGGTTGTACTGATACTACACTCTACACTCTTTTATGTAGATCCCGGTACTGGACCCTACGGACCATAGTTCGAGGTTGCTGCCTTCAGTCCAGTGGAGACCCGAGGTAGTCCTGCAAGCGTCCGCAGGCCTTGGCGTTCCCCTCTATCATGTTTCCATTCTGTTTTTACTTATTTCTGAGACAGATATGTATTTTCTTTGTTCAGACCACTATTTGTAGTATTCTTAGATAGTCCGTGAGATTGTGACTCCAGTTCTGGGTAGAACTCTATTATGGATCCGTATTTGTATTAAGTTAAATTGTTAATTCCGTTCTTCCGCATTATTATTCCGCTGTTTATATTATGTTAACTTGTGAATTGTTGAAAGATAAAAATGAAAAAGGTAAATTAATCAGAGTAATTGTCTTGTCTAGCTTTCACTAGTAGGTGTCATCACGATCCCGACGGTGGGAAATCCGGGTCGTGACAAGTTGGTATCAGAGCTCTAGGTTGTTTAGGTCTCACAATTCACGGACAAGCTTAGTAGAGTCTGAGAGATCGGTATAGAGATGTTTGTGCTTATCCCCTAGAGGCTACAAAGTTTAGGAATGACTTCACATCTATTCTTCTCTATCGTGCGATTTGACTTCTCAATGCTAATTGAACTTCTACTATTTTCTTTTGCAGATGGCTAGAACACGTGCTTCTTCATCCACTGATCAGCAGCTGTTGATACCCAATTTTTCCCTATATATTTTCAATATGTAAAATAACTCCAAAATAGCATATATATGCATATGTAAGCATATCCAAGTGTTTTATTACTTTTCCATAATTTTTAAAGATTTTAAAATCAATTTAGTCCCCTCTTTTATCCATAAAAAACCAATAAGTATTTCCAAAATTATTATTTTGGTAATTCATTTATTGGACTTTTATATTTATTCTAAGATATAGCTAATGTAATTTTTTGCATATTTTTACAAATTTATTTAGTATTTTTAAGCTAAATTGCATATAATTACAATACTAGCCCTTTTAAGATTCAATTGTGTTTTATATTGTCCTGTATTTTTAAATTGTTAATCATATGTTACAAATCATTTTAGTGCTTTCAATTTATTTCCAGAAATTGTTTTACCATTTTTATAATTTTAAAAGGGAAAAATTGGTTATTTAAATAATAGCCCAATTACATTTCAATTTTAGTCTAAATCTTACCCCTAATTAACTCAATTTCCCCGGCCCAATTCCCATTCAAACCCGACCCCTAACCCAATTAAACTATCCAACCCGAATTCCCCTACCTACCCTCTTTAATCCAGGACGTTGATCATTCAGATCAATGACCAATATTCGCCCTTACCATTTTTAACCTTAAACGACCCCTTACCCTACTCATTCTTTACCAAATGCCTCCCTTGAATCCCTCCTCTCTCTATTCTCTCTGAAACCTCACATGAACCCTAACCGCCACCATCTAACTCCACCCCAATCTACCCCAACCCCTGCCTAATCCATGGCCTCTCATGGCCATTGGAGATGTGTATTGGCTTCCTATGGTTCCTGGGTGTTTGTTTTTATGGTTTCATGGCCAGACCTCTAGGGAATCTGGTCTAGTCCTTGCTCGACTTCTGTTCATGGCCTTTCAAGGCAGATCCTTGACTTTCCCGGTTAGATCGGTAACTTTCAAGGTCTTTCTCACCTTTTCTGGGTTTTCCGAAACCCTAATCTTTAAGATCTTTCATTTTTCTTCAGATCTACCTTAGATCTGTGCTTACTATGAACTTCTTAAGTGTTTTTCTAAAAGATTCTCCGATTTTCTTTCAAAGCAACTC